GGTGAGGAAGGAGGTAAAGAAAAACATGGAGTTTATCGCAGTTTATATAATGTATTCGTGCCCTTGGAGCAGAAGACTGTCTTGAAGTGCAGTCTGGTCTGATGAAAGGGTGAGATAATTATGCGCTGTGCGCTCCGAACGACGACAGAAGCGCGCGTGGGTAAAAACAAAAATTAGAGCACGTGGATACCGAACAAAAAGAAAAAAACTGTCCTGGAAAAGAACCACTACGAAAGCAGAGTGGTGAAATGTTACGACAGTTGCGAGGGACACTGGGGAAGCAAGCAATACAAACTATCCAGGTATGGGGCGGTTGAATTGGTAGGCGACTGGTATTTGCGCGCCCGCAGTAGGTTGAGTAGGTCAATGCATCCTAGTGTGATTAAACGCACGGCTGCCAGTGCGGTCTCGTAGTTCAGTTGGTTAGAACCTTGGCTGTAGTAAAGCCTTTTTCGTGCTGTCGTGGTCTGAAATCGCACCAGGGCCACCGGAGTTTTCAAAACTGAGTCAACTGAGTTATTAAAATCTACTAAATTCCCTCTTCGGTTAAGTGAATTATCTTTTAGTCAGGCACAAAAATCCGACCTGGCGAGGAAGGAGTCATGGCAAAGGACCTAGTTTTCGTCTGCATACACGAACACTGAGAAAATGCGCATTATTCCGACTGACTTGACCTGAACGTGGGTCATTTAATGTAGCCGAGACGAAGTTAGCCTGTCAGGACGGGCTAATATATATTTATTATATATATCATATATTATTATATTATAATATATATTGTATATATTATAATATATTTAATTGGTCTTTCGCTTTAGAAAAATAACGTGTATTTTTTAAGACCGTGCATCTTATCTACCTGTTTATTAATGCTGCGGAGTTCACATGCGCTGCAAACGCATTGTATAATTAAGCAAAAAAAGAATATGTTGAGTCATCTTAGGAACCATGACAATTAGGTGGTGTAAGGACTGCCGTGTACAGGATGAGTACGCATAATAGGTAAGGTAGGTTCTGAGAACGAAACCACCCACGGCTACCTCGAAAAAAAAAACCCATAGCCAACAAACTAGCCAGTTCCTTTTTAAAGCCTAAACAGGTTAAATGGTACAACAAATAAAATTTCGATTAAAAGTGCTTTTCATTGCTGGATAAAAGGGCTGCAATAATATAGCTCAGTGACTAAACACTTCCGATGCGGTAGAAATGCATTTCGGTCGCTAAATTCAATTAAAGTTCACCAGGGACGAACAACTTGAAAGGGTTATGAGCTACAAGTCAAATTTATGAGCAGCCTAATATTAATTAAATCTGAAGCAACGCGTCCGGAATTATATCTCAAAGAAAGTCATTTAAACTGTCTGCTGTCAAAAAGTTTCAATATGAGGGCGACTACACCTATGCCATGGAAACGGGAAGAGAAAATTACAGACACTACCGGACGATCCTCCAATTAAAGACTAAAAGCATAGCAGACCTGCAGACAGTTGGTCTTATCTGAGGATTTCCACGAGCCAATAGTCTAGGGTAAAGCAGACTTAAGATCAAATGGCAAACCAGATACGCAGTCTAGATACACCATTTCAGGCAACCAGCACATATGCGCCTGTTTTCCGCCACAGACTTAATGGGGACTTAATGAAACCAGTCAGTGAGATCGAACAGGC